ATTACAATTGTAACCTTTTGAGTGGGTGTGTGACTTGTTTTGGTTATAATTTGAATTTTTGCGATGACTGATGAACGATATTGAGAGTCTTTCCATGCACTGTTGGCTATTCATATTTCTGCCTTTATGAAGTGTCTCATGTATTTCCTGAACCAGTTTTAGTTGGTTATTCTTATTGTTGATCTGTAAGCTTTGCTAGCATATTGTTAAGGATAATTTCCATCTATGATTATGAGGGATGTTCTGTACTTTTATTCTTGTAATTTCTGTGCCTGGTAGTATCAGGCAAAGTATTGTGTTGGATTTATGTTGATTTCATAAATGTGTGAGAAAGTGTTCTCTCCTCACGTGTTCTTAAATAATTTGCATAATTTTGAGTATTCATCCCTTTGACACTGTTCATCAGTGAGGCAACATGAGTTTGGAGTTTTCTCTGTGAAAAAATTTTTAGATATTAATTCACTTTCTATAAAAGCAAAGAAGGTATGTAAGGAAGGTATGCAGATTTTCTACTTTTTTTCTTGTTAGGTTTATAATCTGTATCTTTCAAATAACTTTTCCATTTCATGTAAGTTGTCAAATATATTGATGTAACATTGTTCATAATTGTCCCTTAGTAATGTGTTAATACTAGAGGAGCATATTGATAGTCTATCCTACATTCTTTATATTGGTGTATCCATTTGGATTCAATCAGGAAACAGAAACCACATAGTGACTGAAACAGGGAAAGTATAATGTAATGAATTATTAATCTACAATAAATAAATAACAATGTGCTATAAGAGAATTCTACAAGATACCCTAAGACTTAGGAAAAATTTAACAAGGAGGGACAAATTTGAAGGCAGACTGACTCTCCAAGAAGGGTTCAGATCTCATTGCAGAAGATGTAGCTGCAATCTACTGAATGGCAGAGAAGTTCAGGGGTTTTCTTGGGCCCAAAATAGTCTTCAGTCCTGTGCAAGGTGAAAAGGAGACGCTAGGGCACTGGCTAGTCACAGCCAGTGGGTGAACTTGAGGGTGTGCAGAGGTAGTAGGGGTACTGCTGGTGGGAGGACTCCTCCATTTCAGGAAGGATGTAAATAGTTATCACCAGCCAGACTAGGACTACAAGGCTGCTGAAGGCTATGTGTACCTGGTGAATAACTGAGGTAGATGTCCTCACACTCACACCTCTGAAAGGCTGCAGTTGCCAGTACTAACGTGTTGGAGGAGGTCATAGAGAGGATGTGGCAACCGGTTGACCTGCAAGCTGGACCTCAGCAATCAGATAGAGGCCTCCCCCCCCAATACCCTGTCCTTGGAATGTGCATTCTGTCCACAGTACCCACAGTATGAGCTTTATCAAGAACACAGACTTGAGGGTGTTGCTGAATAGTCTGGACTGTGTACATGACTAAACTCACTTAAGGCCTCTTATATAAACTTAAGATTCTGGAGGGCAGGTGAGCGATCTACTTGTTTTGCTGCCACCCTAGACAAGCCTTGTGTGTAGATTCCTTGCTTATTTAAACCTCCACCCACCAATCTGGAGTGGCCTGCCTCTTTCTTTGTTCTCTGCTAGCCCTCAGGGTGTGTGTGTGTGTGTGGGGGGGGGAGCAGTTTGCAAACCAACATAGCAAGAAAATCCCCTTTTTCTTCTATTTCCCTAGTGCCCTCTACTGAGCAAGCTTAGAATCTTATGTTGCTAAGTATCTTAGTATCTTTCTCCCTGAAAATAAAGATATGATTATAAGGAATTCATTTATTTATTATAACAGATTAAAAGTTAAATTTAAAACTGAGAGGCAATAATTTAACTGGCACAATTGATAATTTGTGTTTTAATTCTTTATTTCTTGATCTTTCTAAGGAAAAGTTTATCAATTTTATTAATCTTTTAAAATTTTTCTTTACATTTCACTGATTTTTTTCTATTGCTTGTTGGATTTCTGTTTAATTGATTTATTTTTTTATCATCTTTATTTCCATCCTTCGTTATTAACCAGTTCAAAATATTTTCTCTATTGTTGTAGTTTCTTTCTTTCTTTTTGTTTTTGGACTTTTTTGTTTGTTTATTTTTATTTTATTTTTGTTTAAAATATTACAGATGTCCCTTTTTCTCCCCAATGACCCATTCCACCCATCCCATCCTCCTCCCCAGTCCCTCTTCCCACCATTGTCCATGTCCTTGGGTTGTGCATATATGCATATAAATTCTTTGGTTAATCTCTCCCCCTCCACCCACTCACTTTCATCCAGGCCTCTGACATTCATCAGTCTGATCTATGCTTCCATGTCATCGAATCTATTCTGTTCATCAGTTTATTAAGTTCTCTAGATTCCACATATAAGTGAGATCATGTGATGTTTGTTTTTCTCTGCCTGGCTTATTTCACTTAGCATAATTTTCTCCAGGTCCATCCATACTGTCCCAAAGGGTACAAGAACCTTCTTTACAGCTGCATGGTATTCCATGGTGTAAATGTCCCACAGCTTTTTTTATCCACTCATCTACTGATGGGCAGTTGGGCTGTTTCCAGATCTTAGCTATTGTAAACTGTGCTGCTATGAACATCGGGGTACATATATTCTTTCTGATTAATGTTTCAGGATTCTTAGGATACATTCCTAGGAGTGGAATCACTGGGTCAAAAGGCAGCTCCATTTCTAATTTTTTGAGGAACCTCCATACTGTTTTC